GGAACAGGAATATTTCTGTACAATCAAAAAAAACACCAAGTGGGAAATATCATTATGATTCCACTTCACAAAGTCAGTCTCCTCTGCCAGGCTCTAGCTCGTGCAGAAGTGAGAGAGCAAGTGAGCTGTGCCTTTGGGTTGTGGATTAATAGTTGAAGTTCACTCGTGTGGAAATAAAGCAGATTTTACTGTGACTAGAATATGTCATTAAAAAGCCATTATTGGAACCGACCAGCTCAATTCCTGCTTTTTCATTGCTAATGACAAAACAATCTGTTCTTTAAAAAACAACAGCCCTATATTTTCTTTCAGAGAATGGTGCAAGGGCTTACCAGAACAGAAGCTGGGTGAAGAGAGGCACTTGAAAGATTTATTGATCAATAAACCAGACAATTACAGCTTGTTTATAAAAGGAAAAAAAACCTCAACAACCCACCCCAAACCTAAGGCCTGCAAGCAACACTGAGACTCTAATAATGATAACTCTGGCATCCAGCTTGAAACTATAAAAGTCAGAAGGAAGATATAGGATTTCAATAAAATTATGACACTAGATAAACTTTACCCCAGGACCAGATTTTCCCTGGGTATGTGACTGAGTTCAGTTAGATTTGTAACTTTAATTTCTTTCTTATTGATTTTTCTTTTCTTCAGCTAATTAGGAAGTCTGTGGTGAATTGTGTGTATGTATGTTTGAGGAGGGGCTAACGAGCATCGACAGGAATAGGACCTGAACTTATATGTATGTTTATAAGGTCAGATGACTTAATTTTTTTTCTTTGGCTACATTTTACTCTTCAGTTGCTTCAAATACACACCTGAGAGTCACTCATACTCCTCAGCAGGCTCATATTTAAAGCCACCAGCTGTCCTTGGAGATGTGCAGTAGCACTGCTTGAGGGACATGGGGATTCTTGGAAGGGCTGCTGCTGCTGATGGTGCTTATGTGATCAGTTCTCATGTCAAGCCCTAAAATTAACCCAGAAGTCCTGTAGGAGCCCACTTACATTACTGCTGCTTTTAAACCACTCTGGTAGCCCTCTGGTGTGTGAATATCAGGGGAAAAAAGCCTGTCCCTTAGCTTGGAGCTACTTGACAACCAGGTTGAATTTTGGATTAGAGCAGAGGGAATAGAGGAGCTGGTGGGAGGACTGGAGAGAAGCTTTATCACAGGGCTGACATTTTGCACAAGTGCTATCATGTACTTTCCCATAGCAAATTTTCATGGGATTAGCTCCAGTTTGTGGTAAAGATGATAAAACATGTTTTCTCTTTAGTTACTTATGTAGTACTAGGAGGCATATTTGTTTGGTAAATTGGCTGCTGCTGGCAGCAGAAAGGAAAACTGTTCAACCTTTGAAAAAGTCACTTTCCTTCCTCATGTTCTAACTTGCATCTCCTCAAACACAGCTGCAAGCTGCAGCACCAGAGTTTGCTGTGGGGGCATTCACTTCCTAGGTTTATAATGACCATAAAAAACAATTATTCTGCTTTTAGGGTATGTTTAGTTTGAAAGTAGTCAAGGTAAAGAGCACCTGGAAATGTGCCAGTGCAAGGTCTGTGGTGAGTTAGTGGAGATGTCCTGTGCTGGGAACATTTTGGAACTTTCCTGGAGGATTGCTTTTTAGTAATCCTGATGATTACTCTCCTGATAGAAAGCAGGAAAACGAAGGTGTTGACAAAAGGTTAGAGTGGGCATCTGAAAGTCCCTAGGGAGACTTTTCTTGGGGCTTGGGGAATATCCTGTCATGTGAGATAAGGAGATGTTGCAGCAATTACTAAATTAGGATTAGATTTTAGAGAATCTTTTTTAAACAGAGGACTTCTCAACAAGAACTTCAGTTTCCTGCCAAACTAACAAGATCTTTAGGAGGGAAAAGCTTTCCATAAGTGCTCTTGATAGGGAGGAATTTGAAAAATGGAGCTGGGGACCACTTGTTGGTAGCTGAGAATTGATTTCATTGCAGTATTAATATTTAGAAATAATTAAAGAGAAGAACTAAATTTCAGGATCAAGTATTTAATTGTATCACCCTCCATTTCAGCTTGTCAGCACCTTTTTATTTTTTTCCAATACAGCTTGTGCTGTATTTACTGTGCATGTTGAAGTTTACTCTTCCCTTGAGAGAAAGAAAGGCTTTGAAGGGCAATGCCTGTAGTTGATTTTAGGGAAAAGAGAGCCTGTAGGGATGTCCTGCTTTCATGCAGTTTTCCCATCCTAACATGAAAGCAGAAGTTGGTCCTCCTTGCAGCTGAACAGCTTGGGGAACTGCTAGGATCTTGCTGGCAACAACTTGAATATTCAGCAATTAATTGGAAGCCAAGTGTGATGGGAATTGCCAGGGGTCCTGTTTGCTGGTGAAGAAATGCTGAGGATTTTGGGACTGTCCTGCTGTAATGGAGAGAACATTGCAGTGCTAAATTATCACAGTGATGAAAGATGCTTAGTGGAAAATTAGTATAGTGAAGCAGTTAGAGAAGAAGCTGTAATTGCATAGCTAATTGCAAGGATCAAACCCCAATACCTGTGTGAAACGCCATCATTATGTTCTCATCTGTGCTCTAGACAGTGATGCTGCAATAAATGGGAAATTAAAGTCATCTTAGCAAAGGCAGTTTGATTTAGGGAGGGTGCACTGGGCAGACTGGGTGCTGTGTGTGTATGTTGGAGGGGAGGAAGAGGATGGGATGATCCTGTACCACTGACTTTCTGCTAGACAAGTTAGTTACAAGGCAGGGATGGTATGGCTGGCTCTGGGTTTTCTCCTATGGTAACATAGCAACATTTCCTTTCACATGTCTGTCAGATGAGTAATTCTTTATAAACTACGGCAAAACTTTTCTTTTCTTGGAAAAATATTTCTCCTCAATTGGGCAAGAGCAAGGAGCTAGTAATAGCTTCCTCTTTCTGTTAAAATCTGGTTTTATTATTTTACAAACTCAGTTCCTTCAGCTTCTTGGTATCCTATGGCCTTGGGGTTCTTTTACCTGCTGACCAACCCAACCATCTTGGATGACCTTTCAATCCATGACATGCTCTGAAGCCACACAGTGCCTCTGGCAGTGCCCCTCACCTGATTTTCACACTTTGAATTTGAAATCTGAGTCATCCTTCCCTTCTCCATGTGTACACTGGTTATCCACGTTCAGTCTTTGACCTTTAGATTTTGAAGGAGGAGATAACTTTTGTGTACAGGCTCGTTCAGCTGAGCAGTCAGCATCACCTTCACTATCAGAAATACAGTCTTTTTCATTTGGGGATTGGGAGAAAAGGACTTTTTTTCAACCCTGGAAGTTCTTGATTTCCTCAGGAGAGCAGGATCCCAGCAAAGCATTTCAGCACAGCCAAGCTGGGTTTGTGAAATGCTCCATGTTCAGTGTAGTGGCAGTTGCCTGATCTGAATGTGAACTTCACAGCTATAAATCTGAATGAACTTGTAATAATATTTTGGATATTTTTATGGCAGAATTCACATGAGAGAACTGGTCTGTCCAGAGCACTGACATGTTTCTGGAACGGGGTGAGGTGGCAAACTTCAGCAGTGAAATGGAGGCAGAGCTGTCAGATTTCCTCAGACTTTTTGCTCTTTGGATTTACGCCAGGGGCCTGCACTTCTTTGACCCTGGTCTGTAGCCTTACAAACATCAAGGTTCTTCCATGCAGTCAAAAGATAAAACACCTCACCAGCTGGCTAACCCCAGTATGCACACTGCTCTGTGAACTTAGTCTGAAAACACACCTGACTTCTGAAATTGTTCAGTGGTTGGTCCCCATTCTTCTTTTCCATGATTGCCTTGGAGGTAGGTGTTAGGTGCTGGGAATCCATTAGGGAATGCTTCAACCAGGGACCCACGCAAACCTTTGGCTTTCAATGCAAGCTTTATACTTGGGAGTGGGAGGGCTGTTAAAAGGGTGGAGAGGGATCCTTCTTTTTGTCTTTCTCTGCAAATGCTTGGGTTTGGTTGCCAGCAAAGAGAGAAGTGAGCCAAACACATTGTCTGTGAGGTATTAACCTCTGAAAAAAATATTTATTCAAAACACTGAGTGTTGCAGTGTTTCACGAGTGATAAGTCACATACTATTTAGACAATATTTGCTCTCAGCCACTTTGTTTGTTGTCAAATCTGTTTCATTTCTGTTGTGACAATTCTGTTCGTTCATTGCTGGAAGTCTTTGGCAGGAAAAAATGTCAAGTACTACACTAAATATTTTGCTGAAGAAACTCATTCAGCCATGTTGAATTAGAATACTGTCTCCAAAAAGAAGGCAGGCTCTGTTTTCACTTGCCATCTGTTTGTTAGAGTATATGCATGTTGCTTTCCTGCAAGGAATATGTGGTTCTATATACACTAGACAGTCCAATTTTTCACAGCGGCCACTTTTATTTTATTAGAACTGTGTGTTCATCTGTGGCTTGATGGTGATATGAAGATGATATAAGAAGGACATTGAGGTGCTGGAGAGGGTGCAAATAGTGGTAACTAAGCTGATTAAGGGTCTTGAGAACTGGCCTTATGAGGAGAGGCTGAGGGAGTTGTGCTGTTCAGCCTGGAGAAAAGGAGGCTGAGGAGAGACCTCATCACCCTCTACAACTGCCTGAGAGGAGGTTGTAGTGAAGCAGGTGTTGATCTCTTCCCCCTGGTGACCAGCGATAGGACAAGAAAAAATGTGGTCAAGCTGTGCCAGGGGAGATTCAGGCTGGATATTAGAAAACATTTATTCACAGAAAGAATGGTAAGGCCTTGGAACTGTTAAAAAAAGGGGTATACATGGTGTTTCATAAGCTGGTTTAGTGGTTAGGGGTTGTAGTGTGGATGGTCAGACTTCAGAGGATCTTGAAGGTCTTTCCCAACCTTGATGATTCTATGATGAGCTTATATCCATCAGGGTTCCTTTGCTGCATAAAAGAACAATGGGCAGACAATTTTTCTGGGAACCCTCTCCTCGAAGCGAGGTGAGGGTCTGTGTCCCTTAAGGTGTTTGCTGTTCTGTCTGACAGGAGCGTGACGGGATGCGAGCCATTCTGGAGTCGTACGACAGCGAGCTGAGCCCGGCCGAGCACTCGCCCCAGCTGAACCGGCGCATGCGTGAGGCTGAGGAGATGGTGCAGAAGCTGCACGCCCATAACACCGAGCTGGAGGTAACCCAGACACCTTGTGCTCTAACTCCAGGGGTGAGGTTGTTCAGGCCTTTAAAACTGAATCGCCTGGCGATGTGATCCGCTCTCACAGAGGGCGGATTTTGCAAAATTCTGGCTGCAAAATTCCAGGCTCAGTAAGACCCATGAGGTGTTATTCTGCACCTGAAGCTGGCAGAAGCCAGGAATAATCATCTTTGGGTGTAAAGAGTCTGCTTTGTGTTCAGCATGGCTGGAGTGACAGCTGATCCCTGCGGGTTAAAGGGCTGTGTGAGGGGGATGTACAGGGGTAGTGAAATGGAGCAGGTGTGGTGTCTTCTCAGGGTCTAGTCTCAGTGAATCACTGCATGTGTAGCAGGGCTCTTCTGCACACAGCATAAGTGAGCCTGTGTTTATAAGAGCTTTGCTCTAAGGGTTGAAGAAGTAAAGTCTGTGTCTGCTGTTCATTCTTCACTTCTTGGCACTGGGCCTGAAAACCCCAGACTCTACTGAAAACCGCAGTAGCTCTACTAAATGCTTTTTTTGCTAGGTTTTCTCTAAGAAAAAACATTCCTTCCAAAGATAGGAGTATTTCTTGAAGGAATTATTCTATTATTTTTAGTTCTCTTTTAGAAAATTTGCAAGCTGAAATGTGAGTGTAATGAGGTAAATGTTAACATGCATTTGCCAAATAGGTCCCCTCTCTTGTACTTTGTCGTAGTGGAATGGGCTTTATGGTGAGGAGTTGAAATATTTGGAATGTGTCTGTGATCTTAAAGCTTAGCAGTTTCATTACCTAGGCTTTATAATGATCATAAGTATGTGAGTTTCCCTTTCTGCACATCTAGTTCCACCATCATATAGATTTATAGATGCCATAATTCAAATGGTGTGAAACTTGCAGAGATTGCAGCTCCTCAGCTTCATGTTCAAGGCATAAAGGGGATTGTCCCACTGTGCACAAACCTCTTTGTTGCTTCTGACACCCTTAAAAATGCTCTTTTCTTGTGTTGGTGGGTGGGGACTTGAATCAGGCAATACTGGCTCCAATGACCTCTAAAGCCTCAGTGAAGAGAGCAGCACAGTGTGGTAAAGATCAGAATTGTCATATAGAAACACTTCATCATGGTTTCTCAGAAAAGGAATTCTGTGAAGTTTTGGGCAAGTTGATAGAGAGTGTAGCTGGTAACATCAGGTGAAATGAAAATGTGCCTGAATTTGTCTGTCTCAGAATGTTCTTCTATGTTGGTCTGGTTGTTTAACATATTGCTTACCAGCAAACAGAGCAAGATTAGGTGATGCTGACATAAAGTGATCTTGATAAGTCCAGAGGAGGCCACTAGGCCACTAGGCCTCCTCAGAGGCTTGGATCAGAGGGCTGGAGAACCTCCAAGGCAGGCTGAGAGAGTTGGGGCTGTTCAGCCTGGAGAAGACAAGGCTCTGGGGAGAACTTACAGCGACCTTCCAGTATGCAGGAAAGCTGGGGAGGGGCTTTTTACAAGGCTTGTAGTGAAAGAACAAGAGTAATGGCTTAGAAGTTGGGAGATTTAGGTTAGACATTAGGAGGAAATTCTTCACTATGAGGGTGGTGAGTCACTGGAACAGGTTGCCCAGGGAAGTTATGAGTGCCCCCTCCCTGGAAGTGTTTAGGGGCAGGTTGGATGGGGCTTGGAGCAACCTGGTCTAGTGGGAGGTGTCCCTGCCCATGCAGGGAGTTGGATCTAGATGATCTTTAAGGTCCTTTCCAACGCATTCTATGATTCTGTGAGGCTATTTTATCCTGTGTTCTTAGTTTCCAGCAGTGGCTTTGGGTTGTTGGAGGGGGATTTCCTGAGCTGTTTCACTGAACAGGTCAGATGTGTCTTTGGGCAATAGCAAATTACCTTTTCTTATTCAGGTGCAAGCATGGGAGCTCTGTGGGAACCAATTGCTACACCCCTTTGGTTATTTATAGGGAACAAAATCTAAGGGGTTTTTATGGCTGTGGATTAAGGGCTACATGGAAAATTGCAGAGAGAATCTATGTTCTGTGAAGGTTTGTTGTGTGTCCTGTCAACCTTTAAGCCTTTCAAAGACTTTGCTAAAAGCAGGATTCAAAGATCTGATATTCCTCTTGTAAAGTAGAATTTTATACTTCACTTACTCATGTTTGTCTTCCCCTGTAGTGTTGACTGCTGAATCCCATCTGTTTTGAAATTTTGGGAGAAAGTTTTTTGTTGTAGTAAAAATCTGAAAACTGGAAAGGGAAATTGAGGTACAGGCAGGACTCGTAGTGCCTCATCATCAGGAGTAGCAGCTCTAATCAACTGCCTGTAGATCAAAGGACAGGTCGATAACAGCTATTAATAACTTCTAACATAATGCTTTGCACCCTCCCAGCTCTGCAAAGCCTCTGTACAAATTTTAGCAATGTTGACACCTGCATGACTCATCTCACAAACAGAGGAGACAGCAGGAA